CCCCCGGAAAAAAAGGGCCGGTTCTCCAGGGCCAGAAAGTGGGGTGACAATGATGCGCCTCTCTGGGCTGCTGGGCTGGCAGTGAGTAAAATAATTTCTAGAAGCCCCTGCAGAAAGCGACGGGACATTTCCACACACACACACACCCCAGCCTACGCTACGGCCGCAGTGTTCCCTCTCAGCTGAGCTAGTGTAAGCGACGCAGTTTTTTAGCCTCCGGCTCACACATTTTTTGTCTTGGGAAGGATGGGGCTCCAGAGCAAACCTAATCTGTACAGCAGGCCAATCGCTGGCTCACGACTTCAAGGCCCAGGAGCTCACAGAGTAGAATGTTTGCTCACAAGACTCCGCAGCTCAGAGGGAACCTTGGCGACGGGCTGTGTCCCCTCCTCAAAGGGGCCCGGGGATGCCTGTGGCGACGCCTAGCGAAGGGGGCTGAGCCAAGGGCCGTCTTCTGCAGCTGGAGGGCCCCCCTACTCCCCCCCCCACCTGCACAGCTGCAGAGTCGAGCCCCTGGAGAAGAGGTTGGCTGGAGCCAAGAAGGTGCCATCCAGCCCGACTCCCTGTGGGGCGTTAAACACCCACCCCCCCCGGCTTGGGCCATGCTTTGCTGAACCTGCTGTAGCCACAGCGGCCGGGATGCTGAGCGCCAGGAAGCAGAGCCAGCTGGGTGGGGCAGGAGAAGGAAGGGTGTCTTCTCCCCCCTTGCCCCCCGCCAATGCATCCAGCCCGGTCAGGCCCCCACAGCTGCGGGGCTGTCCGCTGGCACGGAAGGACCCCGTGGGCCGCTGCTGAGCGTGGCTCCCTCCAAGCCTGAGCGAAGCCTTGTGCTCCCCCCACCGCCTCTGGCTCTCTCTGCACGAGCCAACCTCGCAGGGTTGTTGTGACAGAACGGAGGAGAGACTCTAAAGCAGGGTTCCCTCTAAGCTGAGTCGGTGTGAGCTCACTCACAGTTTTTTAGCCTCCGGCTCGCACATTTTTGTCTTCGCTCAGGAAGGATGTGGCTCCAGAGCAAACTAATTTAGGCAGTATAGCCAAATCGCTCGCTCACAACTTTAGTGCCAGGAGCTCACCAAGTAGGAGTTTTGCTCACGAGACTCCACAGCTTAGAGGGAGCATTGCTTGCAATCAGTGTTCCCTCTAAGCTGAGTTGGTGTGAGCTAGCTCACAGCTTTTTAGCCTCCAGCTCACACATTTTTGTCTCAGCTCAGGAAGGATGGCTCCAGAGCAGTGTTCCCTCTAAGCTGAGTTAGTGTGAGCTAGCTCAGTTTTTTAGCCTCCGGCTCGCACATTTGTGTCTTTGCTCAGTAAGGATGTGGCTCCAGAGCAAACTAATTTAGGCAGTATAGCCAAATCGCTCGCTCACAACTTTAGTGCCAGGAGCTCACCAAGTAGGAGTTTTGCTCACGAGACTCCACAGCTTAGAGGGAGCATTGCTTGCAATCAGTGTTCCCTCTAAGCTGAGTTGGTGTGAGCTAGCTCACAGCTTTTTAGCCTCCAGCTCACA